CCTCCCTCCCGTCCAATGCGCGGGGGGATGGATGGCTCCGAAGAGGGGGGATCCGGAGCTCCGCTTTTCCTGTTCCGGGAGGAAAACAAGGGGCTCAAGAGACTCGGGGAGACAGGCGATCACCGCAAGCCGAGCGCCACCCAACCTCCAGACTAATGCCAGCCTGCCCTCTGGTTCTCCACGGTGGGGACTGTCGGAGAGATGCTGTATGAGCTGAAGGGAAAGTTTGAGAATTAAACAGGGTTCGCTTGGAGGCCAGGCAAAGTTCTCGCTGACTGAGCCTTTGCAAAACATTGGCCTCCTCTGTGTACTTGTGTGTGTGTGTGTGTGGGGGGGGAATTGTGGATCGTTGGGCTCCATGAAATCGCCTGCCAGGACAGCATCTGCTGGCCAAATGAATTTCCCAACCTCCTTAGTACTACACTTTCCGCCTTATGTCTGTTCATTCTGTTTATTTCGAAGTAATAAAAGAAACAATAGTTGTGCGTGAGTCTAAGTTTCTGAAGGCCGGTGATGCTCAAAGCCTGCAGAAACCAGAGGGAGTTTGGGTGTAGAGCCCCCGACTTTCCAAGAGTTCTTCTCTCTGGTCTCAGAGGAGCCTCCAAGGATCACCAGCTGTCTGATTGCCTCTGTGCATTTCCCCAAGCCTGCTGCACAGCTAATGCCTGCCTAGTGTGTGTGCACTCTGTGTCAGATCTGACACTTGATTTGTAAAGACCCAGTAATGACTGGATGATGATGATAATGATGGAGGTGATGGTGATACAGAGAGCCCTGGATCTGGAGTCTGAGCATCCAGATTCCAATCTCAGCTCTGCTTCTTGCCATTTGCTTCCTATGTGACCATGAGCAAGTCACTTGCCCCTTCTAAGCATCAATTTCCTCATTTGTAAAATGATTGCTTGGACTAAGTCATCTTTAGAGTTCCTTCCAGCTCTGAACCCTATGGTTCAATAATGATGAAGAAAAGAATTATAGTGTATAATTTGGAGGGTAGGGTAGAAGGACAGAGAAATGATCTGTGTGTGTGTGTGTGTGTGTGTGTGTGTGTGTAAACTGCTCCCCAATACAACCAAACATTTCCTAGATCAATGTTATCCTGGAAGTGATATTCTGGAAGACAAATTAATAGTGTAACAGCCAAATTATTGCTTCCTACCCTCCCTGGCATCCCCTTGGAAATACTGGAAAGGTAGGTTCATGAATTTCCACACTTGGGCTTTGTATAGATTCCTGCCGTAGGAGGAGGAAGATGAGAAAGAAAAGAATTCCTTTTAATAAACAGATAAACACCAACATTTGTGTAAGTATGGAAACCATTCATAAGCATAACAAAACAAAACAAACTTTGTCCCATGATCCCAATCATGATTCACAACAGCAGCAACAGCATCTAATGTTTTAATGTTTAGTGAGGGCCAGATGAGTATGGTGCTGTTTGTGCATGGAATGGAACCACTGAGTATATTACAGGATGAGAGAGAGAGAGAGAGAGAGAGAGAGAGAGAGAGAGAGAGAGAGAGAGCAAGGCACAGAGGTCACCAACCTCTCTAGACATATGAGGAATCTGACACTGGAAATTAACTTCAGGTAGTAGAAAGAGGACTGGCCTGGGAGTCTCAGGACCTTGAACCTGATCTTGATTCCTCAGTGACCCTGGGCAAGTCAATTAACTTTTCCTGGCCTTGGTTTGCCTTTTTGTTAAGTGAGGAGGGTCAACTGCATGACCTCTAAATTTTAGATTTTTCAGCTTCATTATCAACATCATCTCCTCCTTCTCCTCCACTTCCTCTTTGTCCTCATCCTCCTTTTGCTACTGCTAATTATGACCACTACCACATGGACATAGTTTTCCTTTTCTTTGACTTGTAAGTTGTTTCTATTTTTAGACAGATGTCTTTATTATGTGAACTCCCTCCTTCCTCCTCCTTCCACTTTTCTCAGGCTCAAATCTATTACACAGTACTAGGTCCCTTAATATAGAAAGCCATTAAGCACACAACTAAAGTTATGCACAATGTGGTTCTTGTGCTGGGAGACAGGCATTTTATTGCAAGCACCTATGAACCTGGATTTCATTTGAGTGACCTTGGGCCCAATGATTAGACCAAATAATTCTCCTCTCAGAGGCACCTAGGGGGCAAAGCAGTAAGAGTCAGGAAGATCTGAGTTCAAATCCATCATCTGCCATTTACTAACCGTATTACGATGAGTAAGTCATTTAACCTCTGGCTGATTCAGCTTCCTATTCCATAAAATGGGCATAATAATAGCATCTACTTTTCAGAGTGGTTGTGAAGATCAAATATTTGTTAAGCACTTTGCAAACTTTAAAAAAATGATACGTAAGTGCTAGCTATTATTATTGTCAAGGGAACTCCTCAGTACCTCTCTATGCAGTTGTTCTGTGGCTTCCGTGTATTACCTAATAGAAAGGAATCTATTGCTTAGAACTCTTCCAGAATGGAAGGAACACAGATTGTATTTCCTAGAGATGTCTGCACCCCTCTGAACATATACCATCTATATAAGTGCATGAATGAAAAAGCACCCATCAACAGCTTACTATATGCAAAGTGCTAGAGATACAAATAGAAAAGCCCATCAGTTCCTGCTTCCCAGGAGTTCCTATCCTGATGGGGGAGGCAACATACATTAGAGGTTTCAGCTGCAAATAAGATGGAAAGGTCTTATAGACTTTGGAGTGTAGTGGCTAGGCAGTTGGTAATTCTTCTTCAATGTCACTTCCACTGACAAAACCATGTTTCTGATAGTGAATCGTTCATTCAGTGATGCCAAGGACTTTGGTGGCAAGAACATGACTTTCTGAATCTTCAGCAGCTGTGACAGGTGAGGAGGCAGAGGCTGCAGCATTTCTGAGACAGTTGCCAGGTGGCAACAAAAATTGCTTCCCTGGCTGATAGCTATGAGATGACAGGTTGGATGCAGCACTGGGGAGAGGATGGGGTAGGGAGTAGAGGAGAGGCAAGGGGTGGTTTCTCTTAACTATATGTACTAAGGATGATCTAGAAGGAGGATATATATGGGTCTATTGATATGACTTTCCCTGGGCTCCTACAAGGTATTGAATAAATGTTAGCTGCCCTTTACTATTCATTGGTATGAGATATACAAAGGGAGCACAGTGTGAATTGCAGGAATCACAGTAAATTACTAACATATTAGATTTTCTCTAGTTTCAGCTTGCTCTAAGGAGATGCCTTAAGTACAGCTGCAGTTTGGTTTGGTCTTTCAATGGGAGAGGGGGAGGAGGAGTGAGAATTCATGTGGAATAATTTTGAAAGAAGATTTATTTCCTGGCTGGCAGAAGAGATGTGCCAGAACACGCAAAGTAGCCTTCCTACCTCTTACTTTTCTTGCAAGAGCCTGGGGACTGGAGTATAGCCCCCTAAGATCAGGTAGGGGAAATCTCCTAGAGTACTGGTCTCAAAAGAATGACTGCACCTGAGGTCAAGCTCTGATTTCATTTAGTGAGGGCCAACAGCTAAGTTTTAGATACAAATGTGTTTGTGTGTGGTACCATGATATGCCTTGTTTTAGAGCCCTTCTGGTGAGCTGTTTCTGGTAGTTCTGACATTAATAGAGACATTATGGCACAAGAGTGATCCTGATGATTTCCCCTCCTTTTTACTCAGCTTCCCTCTTTGGTCTTGCTATACAACTCCTCGCTCCCTCCTGCTCTGTCCACCCTTTTCTCTTCTGCTCCCATGATATCCTTTTCTTTTTTGTCTTCCCCTTCCTTCTCCTCCTTTCTCTGGTCTCAGTTATTCTCTCCTCCCTTCTCTTCTTTCCCACTTCCTTTACTTTCCTCTCTCCCATAATGTCTTTTCCCTTCTCTTTTTCTTCTGTTACCTTCCCATCTCTATTTCCCACTCTTCCCTGCTCCTTTTCTCCTTCCTACTTAACTGTTCTTGTCTCCCTTCCTTCCTGTCAGTCTTTCTCCCCTCTCCTCCTCTTCTTTCCCTTTTCCTTTCATCTCTCCCATAATGTTTTCTCCCCTCTCTTTTTCTTCTGCTCCCTTCTCCTCTCCTCTGCCCCCTTCTCCTTTATTCATTAACCTCCCCTCTCATCCTATCCCCTCCCTTTTTTCTTCCACTCTCTTTTCTTCTCCCCGGTTCCCTTTCGTGTTAGTCTCTCTCCTCCTCCTCCTCCTCCTCCTCCTCCCACTTCTTTTCCCTTCTTCCATTCTCTCCTCCTCCCCTGTTCCCGCTCCTTCTCCACTGACCTCTCCTCACTACTCTCTCCTCCCGTCTTTCTTCTGTTTCTTTCTTCTCTGTTTACTCCCTGTCAGGCTTCTAGGGGCTAATGGCGTAGCCTCCTGGGAGATGTAGTTCCCAGAAGGTGGAGGTAGTAGCGGTAGTGCTCACACTAGCCTCACCCTTAGTTTCCTCTCCCCTCCCAGTCTCCAGTTGCCTGGAGATTTGGGTTGAAAGTTAAGGCAGCAGTACTTTCCTTGTCTGCCAGAGACTAGTCTTCGATCTAGATCGGGTGACCTCACCCAGCGAAGGGCTATAAACGGAAAGAGACCTCCTCTAGCTGGAGCTAGTGGTTTGTCTGGAGCTAAAGAGTGGGAAAAACCGAATTCCTAAGCTTTGGGACAGAGCGAAGAAAATGAGTCTGGGCAGTGATCGGCTGCAAAGGATTACAGCCCTTCATGTTTCGTTGCCAAGCTCCCCAACTCCCCAGCTCCTCTTAAAAAGTTACTTCTCCCAAGTCCCAATTTCCGTCTCTGCCAGCCTTCTATAAACTCCTAGCTGGGGCCTCGGGGATTTCTCTAAACCCTTGGTCAGATCACGCGGAAGGAGAATACTGAGAACTCTGTGAAACCGTGTACTTACTGGTAAGCTCTAGGCTCACTATCCCAGCAGCCCCCAAGGAGCATTTCTTCCCTGGCCAGAGCGGTCCATTCTCCTTTCCGCTTTGTCTGGCGCCTCTCTTTTCCCAGCCCCCACCCCCTCCCTGCTGGAACATCTGGAGACAGGACTGGTCCTAAGAGAGAACCAGGCTCCGCTGCCAAAGTGAGCGCCTGAGAAGGGCAGGGACTCAGTCTAGGCAGCCTAGAGGAGAGCGCAGGGGATAGGGCAAAGAGGGCGGAGGCATGGAAGGAAGAAGAGAAGGAGTAACCTCAGGAATTCGTCTGGGCAATGGTTCTTCATTTCTCCTTTGTCGGTTAAGAAAAATAGTCGTGAAATAGAAGTTAAAACTTTTTTCCTACTCTGGTCCGCCCGACGAGCTCTCCATTGTGAATGCAGTTTTAGGCTGTCTACATAGGCCAACTTAAAGTGAAGGCAGTTATGTGCCCTTTTTTTTAAGCCCACAGAATAAATTAATTTATCTCAATTTGGAAGTGAACTTATCAGGAGAGATGGTGTGGTGTTGGATTTGTGATCCAAAGACCTGAATTCCTTCATTAGGCTGCTGAATCTGCTGTTTACTACCTGCCTGACTTGGGCAAGTTCCAGAATTTCGAGCTAGAAGGAACCTTAGAAAGAATCCAGAGGTAGTAGTAGATGGTGCCTAACTTGGAGTCTGAAAAATAAGGGAAAGGTTCAGTGTCTGCCTCTGGGGCACTAGCTGGGTGATCGGGTACAATTTAATCTGAGATTCATTTTACTTATTTATAAAATGGGGATAATAATATCACTGGAATGAGAGCTTCTGGAGAACAGGGACTGTGATTGTGCTTTTCTTCACATCTCCAGGACCTACCACTGTTCCTGGCACGTAAGTACTTAAAAAATGCTTGTTAATTGACTGCAGAAGCCACCTCAAATGGGTGTTATAAGCTTCAAATGAAGCAATATACATTGAGCTCCTACTTGTCACTCTAAGGTTTGTAGGCTGGGTCACCTGAGAGGTGATTATTCTCACACTTTCCAGGGGGGCACAGCTACTCTCCTCTGGACTTCTCCTTCATCCTTTCTTGCTGGGTACATTTTCTCCCTGCCTCTCCTTTTAGTTTTCTTTTTATGTGTCATCTTCCTCATTAGAATTTGAGTTTCTTGAAGGCAGGAACTATCTTCTTGTTTGTATTTCCACAATTTTTTCAGCACCCAGTGTTTAGCACAGTTCCTGGCACATAGCAAGCACTTTAATAAGATGCTTGTTGACTGGCTCAGTGACTCTATACTCCTAAACTCTTACTCATGAGCCCCTACTGCTGAGCTTCCCTTTAACAGTCATCCAGCAGACACAATTAGCTCAAAGCAAAGGCACGTACTGAGATGACATAATCAAAAGGGTTGTTTGCAAAACATTCCCCCCATAAGTCTTGGATTTGCTCTTTTACATCTTCACAGAACACCCATAAACAGAATAAAAATAAACTTATAATACCCTGGTGGTGAGGCATATTCCAAGATATACATGTGCCCAAACAACTTATGTCCCCAGTATTCCAGGCCTATTACTCGTTTTCTTGTGGTAGTCTCATGCTGATCTTCCCTGAATATAGTGTCTCTGACAGATGTGTCCTTCAGCTCTCTTGGGAAGGAGCAAGCATTTATTAAGTGCTTACTATGTGCCAGGTACTGTGCTGAATTTTACAAATATTATCTCATTTGATAATAAGTTGGTCTCCCCAGATCTGCTCCTTTCTAGAGCTTGACTCTTGACTATCAGAGGTAGTTGTCTCAAAGCCATAGTCAGCTCTCTTCTCTTCTGCCAGATGTCACAGCACTTAAGTGGCTCCTTCTTGCCTTGGATTATGCATTTCTGTGTGTCTCTCTGGACAGTCTGGAGAGTACATGTTTGCATTCCCTGGCATAAATTGCTCAACTCTCCACATTATTCCCTATTGGATTCTCTTGTCTCCTACTGGGTGAGTACCACAAATATGGTGGGCTACAAGGAAACCAAATTCCTCCAACTACATATAGAAAGTGTTATGTAAATATCAGTTATTATTGTTTAGTCCAACTTTCTCATTTTACAGAGGAGGAAACTGAAAATCAAGAAAGTGAAATGACTTGGCCAAAGTATGGTGTAGTAGAGATAGCACTGGCTTTGGAGTCAACCCCCAAGTTCCAATCTGGGCTCTACCACTGTATCGCCCTTAGGTGAATCACTTGATCTCTCTGGGCCTCACAGGATCATGGATCTAGAACTGGAAGGAGCCACAAGTATCACCTGATTCTAAAGAATGTCTATTTGGCCAGATAAAATCCTTAATTTATCATTTTTAGAAAATCATCCATGTTACTATTTTTGTGGGTTTTTTGGGGGGGTTGGGCAATGGGGGTTAAGTGACTTGCTCAGGGTCACATAGCTAGTAAGTGTTATGTGTCTGTGGTTGGATTTGAACTCAGGTCCTCCTGAATCCAGGGCCGGTGCTCTATCCACTGCGCCACCTAGTTGCCCCCCATGTTATTATTTTTGATATGTTATTTAATCCAAAACCCAATAACAATGGTCAACATTTATACATTGCTCATACTAAGCACTTTAGAATAATTTAATTCCTCCAACAATCCTGGGAGATAGGTGTTGTTGTTGTTATTATTGTTATTATTATCATCCCCTTGTACATACAACAAAGACTGATCAAATTCTCTAACATACTACAATTGCAAAATGTTCAACCTAATCTTTTTGATTCATAATTACTGGTGGCAATAACTAAATGTCATTTTTCACAAGGGTCTATTATCTTTAGTTGACTCATTAAAACAAAACAAAACAAAACAAAAAACCTCATGGTGATGTCCCCAGCTCCTATAACTGCTTCTTTATTTCTTTGAATCATCCACAGAGCCAAATCCATCCTTTTAATTTTTCTAACTTAATCCTACCAGTGTACCTTAAGGCATCTCTTTAAAAATTCCACAAATCCCATTTTAGGAAGTTTTTTTTCTTATTGACATTAAAACCATTCCTTAAATTTCCTTTTCCAAAACTTCAACCCCCCCCCCCTTCTTTTTGGCTAGGCAGTGGGGTTAAGACACTTGCCCAGGGTCACACAGTTAGTAAGTGTGAAGTGTCTGAGGCTGGATTTGAATTCAGATTCTCTTGACTCTAGGTCCAGTGCTCTATCCACTGTGCCACCTAGCCACCTCATCCTTTCTTCTTTCAAGCCCTGTATTCTCATTTGTCAATACAGACTGTAGCTTCCCTTAAACTCTACCCATTCTTCTCTCATCCCTACTTGTTTAAATTGTCATCTTTTCTTTCATTTTGTAAAAACTCTTCAAAACCAGACCTTTCTTTTTACCTTATCCAACACTTCTCTTTCTTCTTGCTGTTGCTTAATTCCTCTAGTCTATTTTCCATTCATCTCTAAGAATGCCTATAAACTTAATCTTTGCCTCTTACACTATAGTACAAGTTTTATTACACAGAGCCAATTAATTGCAATACTGTCACCCTTTAAAAAATTCCTTATGGCTTACAAATTCACAATTCATTCCAATTTCTTTAAGGCCTATAGATTTTTATAAATGAAGTATACAATTTACTGAGCACAACTCCCTTCTAGTTCCTCACTGATGACCTTGGAAAAGTCACCTATCTCTTTCTCAAAGTTAACTTCTTTTATGCTGGAAAAGTATTTATCCCCCTGTTTTATGGCGAAGTCCCATGGATGGCACAGGAATGTCCCAGATATTGGTACCTTGAAGGGGCTTTGGACTCCTCTCACTATAATAAATTATTATTACCATTCACTCTAAATGAAATATTGAAGTTTTGCTCCACATTTCAATTGTCCTCTCTTCTCAATATAGAGTTTAATAGCGTTGTGTAAAAGCAACCTCCATTTTGGTGCTATTGACTGTGAATGCTCTTCATTCTTTCACTGTTTCTTCCCTTTACAAAGTTTTGGTATTTATAGGGCCCAATAATATCATCAATGTTATTGTGCTTTAATGAGGCAAGAAACATCCTGAAATAATTTACAAATTCTGTTTTCTCAAAATTCCTGTTTTTAATTCTAATATTTATAAGCCATATACTCCTCTTAATTTGATCTTTTGTAGTCTGGTCACCCTCTGTTAAGTGTACATGCTATTTTATACACACACACACACACACACACACACACACACACACACACATATATATATAATTATATATTATATAATTTACTATACTTTCCTATAATGTTATATTCTTGTTTAATTCTACCTTCAATAATTCTTACCTTACCTTACTTATTATAGTTCTACCAAAATACAATTTTGAACTTATTTCTACTTCCATTGATTTTAACAAAAGTTTTACTATTAAACAATTGATTTAAACTACAGTAGTATCATTAAATTTCACTTACTTTCACTTGCTTCCTGATTTCAAAACAAGCTTTTGGCACTTTGAGATCTACCTTTGATCTGTGTGTACTGATTAGGGCTCCCTTGGTGCCTTCGCCAATCTCACTTGGTTGATTGTTTAAAAGCAGTAATCAATAGAAGGGAAAATAAATTATAACTCAACTTACCTTTATTCTTTTAAAATCTGAAAATGGCATAAAACTTTCCTGTTCTGTCTTCTAATAAAGAAATTCACACTTCCTTCACAATAAATTTGTCTCAACTTTCCAGTTTTTAGGTGTACCTTTAGTCTATGATAAAGTTAAAGACAATTTCACAGAGTGATACCCCAAAACTTCAGACTCAGAGATTGGCTAACTGAATTTAGGACTTAGCAAATGTGTTTTTAAATTCTGAGTTGTGGAATCATTAAACTCACAGGACTTTTATTCTAATCTCCTGTATTATTTCCCAAGTTTTTCTTATTTCAACACTTCTCTGAATTTTACTGAATCTCTATTTCACTGAATCTCTCCTGAACAGATTCTATGATTAATAAAGCATTTCTTAAAATTCAAATTGCAGCTTTAAAATCAATCTTTAGTCACTTTAAAGTTCCTTTTATAGAATAACTGATCTGTCAGTTTTTTGTTTTCATTAAACTTTACAAAGTTTGCTGGTAATTCAAAAGCTTATCAAAACACTCAGAAAATTTTCAAATCATAATTTTAGAATTTTCCAGTAGAGAATGACAAATTTAGTCTCTAACTCATTATTATTATTATTATTAATTACTATTATTATTATCATCCATCTTTTATCCCTGCAACATCCAATGTGGCCAGTATTGGAAATAGAGGGAGAAAAGAGACACTTGTCTTTTCTGAAGACTTTTTGAAAAGTTTTACTTTTTATGCTCTTTCCCCGCTGGCTTATTAGTCCGCAGGAAAAAGCATAGAACAAAATTAATGCTTGGAAGCACCTGCTACCATGGATTATTAGCACAAAGCACGAGTAAGACATTTCCCATTCTCTTGAAAATTTTTCCAATTGTGTAAGGTCCCTTTCTGTCTGAAAGAAGGAACCCACTATTTTAAAACTTAGTTCTACCATTCACAAAATGGACACACACAGAACATATAACAAGACCTGATACAACATTAAATCAGGCCTGATTTCTGCAGATTAAAAAAATAAATAGGTGGTTTTGGTGGCTTCCTTCTCAAAGTAGAGACTTACCTTATCTTGGAGGAATTTGGGTTCAGGACTGAGGAGAGTCCAGGCCTCCAAAACAGTCCTCTGAGAAGGTCCTTGGTGACTTGGAGAGCTCTTAGGGAAATTCCTTGGAGAAGATCACTTTTGGAAATTTGGATTTAATCCATTAGGTTCCATCTGTGTGCCAACTGTTAAAACTGATTATCTCAAATAAAAGGAAACTGAGGACAAAATTATTGAGCATCTATGATTTAACTTGCAAGGCTA